AGGCTGGGGCCTGTAGGCCCTGTCAGAAGGAAGCTTGCAGGCAAGAGCCTGGAAGTTTCCCTGTAGGGAAACAGGCTGGGGCCTGTAGGCCCTGCCAGAAGGAAGCTTCCAGGCAAGAGCCTGGAAGTTTCCCTGTAGGGAAACAGGCTGGAGGTCCGGGACGGGCCCTGCAAGGCCCGTGTGGCTGCACAGTATGCCACATCATTGGTGCAAGGACGATGATGATGCACATATAGCCGGAATGCTGTAGCAGATGGAGTGATGATGATGATGATGACAACAATGATAACTCATGTGTGCAAAGTTGCAAACTAGACTCGAAAAATTGATGAAATGCTGCTGTAGGTAATGTACGTTTAAAAAAAAAATAAAAAAGATGTACCAACTGACTGGCCTAGCTCAGTTGGTACACCGCCTGAACTGTTGGAAAAACAAAACAAAACAAACAAAACAAACAAATAAACAAACAAACAGACCTGAGTTCGAACTCCACTGGAAGCAGATGAGTGAAAAACACCACAACTCTGAATTTCCTAGGGCCGGTCAATTCGATGATGATATCGCAAGGCTGTCGCCCTTTTTCTTTATATATATATATAGCAGTTCTGTTTGTGACGATATATATATATATATATATATCGTCACAAACAGAACTGCCCGGTGTGAGTCAGTGTGACCATCTATCTGTCGATCTTTTCTCCTCACCCACCTACCTCCTTGTATAGTGTTGGGAACGCAAGCCTTGATGCTGCACTGACATCTTGGTCTAGTACCCCCATCACAATTACTGGCACCGATGTGAACACTACATTGTAGAGTGTGATGTACCAGTCATGATAGATCACGGCTCCGGAGAAAAAAGCATAAATGTTGAACCAAAATAATGTCATTCCAAACATTATATTCTTGTAGAAGAAGTAACAAACCTGTTTGCATTACAAAACACGAGAAAACAACAACAACATAAGCAAATTACTTTCGAGTTCGAACTGAAAGAACCAAACAAAAAAAGAAAAAAAGAAGAAGAAAAAGAAGAAGAAGAAGAAGAAGAAGAAAAGAAACAAAAGAAAAGAGGTTCAACCTGAGTTACTAGACTTCATCTTTATCTTCATATGTCTTTATAAAGTTTATATATTTTAATATTTTAACAACCCCCCCCCCCCCCCCCCCCCCCCCCCCCCCCCCCCCCCCCCCCCCCCCCCCCCCCCCCCCCCCCCCCCCCCCCCCCCCCCCCCTCTCCCAAACCCCACCCACCCCCTTTACAAGTTACAACATCATCTCTTCTACATCTTTCTCTCTTTTCCTTCTGTATCTCTCTTTTAGTTGTTTTATGTTCTTTTATATCTTCAAATCCTTTTCCTCCTTCTCCTCTCTTTTACATCTTCATCTCATTTTCTTTTATAGCTTTCCCAGTATAAAAAAAAAAAGGGAAAACAGTTACAAACACATTGTCATTGTAAGAGATAAAGGGCATTGCTTCACAACTAAGGGGCTCGTTAGACAGTCCTTGGGCGCGTAAATCCCCCGCGGAATTCATCGTTCCACTTATCCTCGGGGAAGAAATTGAAAAAAAAAAGTGAAAACATTTCCTCGGGGATTCCTTGGGGATTCCTCGGGCCACAGCCATTTCGACGCGTTCCCCAAGGGACCTCCCGAGGTCCCTCCGAGGTCGAGCATCCGGAAGAATCGGGGCGTCGACAGCAGCTCTCTCGACGGCAATTTTCGAACTCAGCTGGTCCATTGCTGTTCCTGGCGGCCTGTCGACGCACATCTTCGGTCGGCGACGTTCGGCGTCATGGAATTGTCCGCCAACGGTCACGGTTGCCGGCCTGCCGGCCTCCACGACGTCTAGAAGGGGCTGTCTTGCGTCGGTGCCCTTGGGCCCGAGCAGGAAGGCGCCCAACGGTCGGCAGATTCGAATATTTCGGCCGGCCCCCGCTCTCCCGATTGCGCAGTGTTTTCCGCGATGGAATTTTTTACCCTTCGTTTGTCGTTATCTACGATCGGCCGTTTGCAGCACTGTTCCTCACCGTTTCCTGGACGTCCACCATTGTCTTCTAGCTGCTCCCGTCGTCCATGTGCCTTTCATGGCCGACGTCTTTCGGAGGCTGCCGCTGCTGGTGCTGGTCATCCTCTTGCTCGTCGTTTTAGTTGCCTTCCACGTGTGCATCCTCGGTAGCATTCCTCGACGTGCACGCAGAAGACGGCCTTTGAAGAAGGACGCCAGGATGGAGGGGCGCCAGGCGATCTGTGGGTCTGCAGGGGAGCAGGGCGGTGGCCAGCCGGCTGGGCAAACCCCGTCGAGGAGTTCAAGGCCGTCGAAGCGGTCTGGGTACGCGCACGTACCACCGCACTTGCAACCTCTGCCTGATACGTCCGACAAGGAGGCAAATGAGACACGGTCACGGACCGTGCCATTGGGAAGTGGGTCCACCCAGGAGTGGGCAGCTACAGAGTTGTGCGGGAGCCGCGACGGCACGTATCGACAGTCCTACACCGAACTCCTCCAGCAGGGGCTCAGCGGAGACGAAGGGGATGGCGACGTGAATTTGCCGTTCGGGCTCCGTAGCAGGAGGTCGTCGTCCACCTTGCGAACGGTCGTCGTATGTCACGGCCCAGCTCCCCGTTCATGTCCATCGACGGTTCTGCTTCTGTCGACATGGACGTCGTGAACTACACAACACTCCACCAGCGCCAGGCCACAGTACATCGATGGCGCGAGTGACAAATGGAGTACACGGCGTAGACGTCGACGACAAAGGTGCGCCTGCGAAGACGACAATGATGGCAATCGTGTGACGGCGTCTGTTGCTTCGGATGTCTACATGTACGTTCGCCATGCCCGCCAACACACAACCGCTACCCCGTACCCAAACGCTTCCACTGAGGAACGTTGCTGCCGTCAGCTGCGAGGGACGCCCACGGCGCGCCGTCACTCGCATGCCCAAATTCGAATCTGGGACTGCGCGCCTTTTCCAATGCCCTCATTTTTTTGAAGGCCGCCGACCTTCGATTTTGCGACGCCCACCCAAACTGGACCAACGACGTCGGCACGGACACAGCTTGCTGGACCACCCTCACCCCCCCCCCCCCCCCCCACCCTCCGCTTGTCGATATATGAAACTGGCCGCGGGAGCCCCCGAGGAATCGTCCTCGGGGGACCATTCCGAGGATGAGTGGAACGACGGCAGGAATTTCCTCGGGCCCCGAGGACGGCCCGAGGAGTATCTAATGAGGCCCTAAGCCCATGTGCACAAACGATAAAACAATATGGCGTTGTATCTTCCCATCTTCTAGCGGACGATTCATTCTCGTTTTGCACATTTCTTGAGTAGTGGAACGAGTCCCAACGATGAGTTTTAACTTGGAAATTTGGAAGAGATCAAGATCAGGGACATTCTCTTTTGTTTTTTTGTTTCTTCAACTCTTTTTTGTTTTTTCAATTTTTTTGTTTTTTGTTTCTTGTTTCCAACTTCTCCCCCCCCCTTCCCCCCCTTCTCTTTCGTGACTCTCTCCGTGTCAAGGATTTCGTCTCTCTGTGTCCAGGAGTTTGTCTCTCAGTGTTAAGTGTTTACTATTCCGTTATCCAGTCGGAATATGCTCGAAGTCAAGAGCGAGCGTCTGTTATGGGATCGTTTGACTGCACTAGAAACAAGCCATACGAACAACGCTCGGATGCACGGCCATTATCAGTGCATGTAGACTGAAAGTCTCCCCAAATACAACGATATAACTTTTCCATCCTTCTCTGAATTATTGCGGTAGATTCTTCATATCGATGGCGGCGGCGAACAAGTAGCTGCACAGAGCAATTCTAATGCACCACAACGAACCCCTTATTCCAGACTACTGCCTTCACACGAGTAGTGGGCACAGTCACTATCACTGTATCCAGACTGAAAGTTGCCCCAAACACAGCTATAATGACCGTGCATTCTATTCAGGAGAAGATGCTAGCTCCCAGTCGAGATGAAGAGGGAGGTGATACAGAGGTGTGAATGGCAGCACAAAACTTTGCATCTCAGACACACGCTCCAACTTGAGAGTAAGGGTGTGTTTGTGTGTTTGTGTGTGTGGGGGGTGGGGGGGGGGGGGAGGGGTGTAGCCTTCAAACTTCAGAGAGAACAAGGGTAAGTGCATAATCAATCAGTAATTTGACAGTGCATAACTTAACGCATACTCGCAGCCAGGCTTCCCTGGATGTACATGACCAGGTAATTTCGACCAGATTCATTTGGAGAAATCCTATTCTGAATAAGCCTTAAGAACTAGGGCAGGGCAGATGCCAACTACAGACAAAGACAAAGAATAAACAGCCAGGCAAGCAGAACTGAAACACCCACAGACATCAACGGGCCTAGTGTCTTCACCCGAATAGAACGCCCGGTCATTATCACTGCATCTGGACTGAAAGTGACCCCAAATACAGCTATAATGACCAGCCGCTCTATTCGGGTGAAGAGGGTAGCGCAGCTGTTTACAACTTTACACCAATAAACTGTTGGAATACAGCTGCGGTTTGTTGGTGTGAAGTTGTAAACAGCTGATATCTGAGTAAAGCTGTAAAGTTGTGAAGCTGTAAAGCTGCGCAAGGCCCGTTGATGTCTGTGGGTGTTTCAGTTCTGCTTGCCTGATGGAAGAATATGAGCAAACTTCGACCAAACTATGACCAAAATTTGACGAAATTTTGACCAAAAATTGACCAAAATTTTGACCCGAGTTCGAATCCAGATGGAAGAAGATGACCAAAATTTGACCAAAATTTCTCAACTACCTGCGGGCAGTCAGTTGCAGGATGATATCTCAAGGCCAAACCACCAAAGGCACTACCAAGGCACTTTTCTCCTGGGGTGGAAACGCGCATCGCACCAAAGAAAAACGAGTCGGCGCGGGCCTCCTTTTGCCTGGTGGCGGCAGCCATTTTGCTGAGGTGGCCGAGCGCCGGAAGTTGGGTGGCAGTTTGCAAGCTGCAACTTTGAAAAAATGCCTGGGAAACGTACTAGCGGCTTAAAAGGAAGAAAGGGAACAAAACAGAAAGAAAGGGAAAGTGKCCACATAGGCAAAAAAAAAAAAAAAAAAAAAAACTAGAGAAAAAAAGGAAGGTGCAAGCAAGTCTATGTCAGAAGAGAGTTTCCGATGGGAAAAAAAAGCCACACGGGGGCAAAATGCAAGGAAGATGAGCAATAGCAAACTTCAGCAATCAAAAAGCATCATACGTACGAGTCCAGATAGTCGTGACCTCGAACCAACAGCAGAATTGCATCACGAGATTCACCAAATAAGAACACACCAAGAGTTCATAATTGACAATGCTGAAATAGTCCCATCATCATCAACGAAGAACAAGAGTTGATATCCTATCTGGCGCTCGGCGCCCAGACTACATGTGGCAGATCCTATCTAGCCTATACTACGAAACCGAAAGATGACGTCAACAGCTTTCCCGAAGCACGAGCATATGGCGACCAATGTCGCACGCTTCCAGCACCAGGTATGTCTCTCGCCACACTCACAACCTCGTTTCCCAACACACAGATGCCACTAGCACCCAAGGACCACCCTGCGCCTCACCCAGCTTACAGCAGCGCAGCTCGGCTATGGCTGCGTGCTCCTTCCCTGCTCGCCCGTGAGAGCGTAGGCGCCAGCCAGCAAATAGCGCAGCGGCGCTTGCGCAGCATGCAGCCAGCACCCGAATGCCGAATGCGGAGGCAGGCCCTTTGCTATATCGAAGTGGCCTGCCTGCGTCCAGTCCCAGGAAGCTTCCAGTAGGCCCCGGTAGCCTGAGGCCCAGCACGACGAGAACAGGCCTTG